GGGCGCCGGCCCAGAGCCGGCCTTACCGCGCCATCGCGATCGCGGGCGGGCGTCTCCATGCTTGCCATGCGCATTCGCCTGGATAACCGCAGGAGGACTCCTTCAGGAAGTAACTATGGGCACAGGCCCCGAACTCCGCGGCGTTTGGGCGATGGCCCCCTCTTTGACAGCAACTTGGTCGCTTCTGACAGAGACGGAAGCCGCCTTGAAAACCGCACAACGGAAAGAGCTGCTGCTGCCCCCTGTGGGATGGGGTGGAACTGCACAAAAGGGCCAACGCGTTAAAACAAGAGCTGGTAGGGCCGGGGGATTTAGTTCAGAGGTTCCACCGCCTGCTTCGCGAGCTCAGGGACCTGCGTTCGATGCCAGGTATCAAAGAAGAAGAAGAAAAAAAAGAATGATAAAACAAGGGCTAGTATAGTTATAGTCGGGGTGGAAAGGGGGACCTTGTGCTTGCAAGGCAGGCGGAAGTACCACTGAGCTAAATGCCCGGCCCCAGTTGTATTTTGCAAAGCAAACCATAAATACTGGTCGAAGTTATGTATTTAGGTTAAAAAATCTATAAAATTGGGTATCTGTAATGATTTACTATATTACTACTATGGCAAAAAAAAAAAATAGAGGTATACATATATAGAGAGAGAACTTTAGCCACCACAGGACCGTTGGACTTCATCCACGCGCCAACAAAAAGATGTAGGAGTAGTACTTGTTGTTTATGCTCCACTTCATTCTACAGTGACCTATAATACAAACTATGAAGCAGAAAATATGTACTCACATGGAATTCAGCGGATAAACAACTAATAGGAAATATATAGATTGTATTATGATATTTGATGCCAAGAATTGTCTTATATAATGGTGGGGCTGACAGCATGTCTGAAATGCATAGGACAGGCCATGGGGAAAAGGAGGGTGTGGTTGTTGAGAACAAAGGTCGGCAGAGGAATTTCTCCTTCTTAACACTTTCCCACTGAATGAAGCAAGCCATTGGCATTACCTACAACCATCTTCTGGTTTAATAGCACCTGATTATGGACTTTAATTAGATTTACAAAATGCCTTCACAGCAACACCAAGATTTATGTGCAGTTGAAAAGTTAGGGAATATCTGACAACTATCACGCAGGCAGGGAACCTGTGAATTAGAAATGTAACGTTGGGTTAAGGGAAGGTAAACTGAGGCGAAATATCCCTTATCCAAAATGCTTGGAATGGGAAGTGTTCCCGATTTCAGAGTTTTTGCATTTTGGAATGTCTGTACATACTTAGCAGCTGAGAATGTCCAATATGAAAATCTGAAATGCTCTAAAATCCAAAACTTTTTGAGCATTATGTTGGCACTCAATAAGTTTTGAATTTTGGAGAATTACATATAGATTTTAGATTTTGAGCTGGAGTGTTGAACCTGTACATAGCTCTGTGGTCCTGATATTCCACATTTGGTTCCGGGAGTCTTGAAGCCAAACAACATGGGAACAGGACCATTTATGTGGTCTGTCACCCTGCAGAGAAAGCCTTTTATCTCCTTTGAACCTATGGCCTGCCTGGGAGCCTCACCTGCTATCCAACATGAAAAGGTCACTGCCCAACCCTAATGAAAGTTCTGGCTCCTTTCTCAGCCTTCTCTGATACAACCCTGGTGGGTATAGGGAGCACCTGAAGACAGTAGGAGTCTGGCTTCCCATAGTTTTTGTCTGTTTTTCATTTGGTTTCTGCTACAGTAGAGAGGTTATTTTCTGCATTTATGTCTTTCCCCTTTCTTGGTTCTTTGCCTAGGAAGTGCAGGCTTTTTATTATGCTTCTTTTTTTCTCTGTTCATTGGCACCTCTGGGTTGCCAGCTTCCCTAGCAACCAATCTGGAATACTGGAAATGAAAAGAAAGTCCAGAGACCTTACCTCTGTGTTGTTCTTCAGATTTCAAAGCGCCTACCTGACCTGCCCTCTTTTCTCCACCTCTGGAAGTCTTGTTAGGTTTGTCCTATATATTATGTCCAGGGTGTTTAGTTGTGCCTAGGAAGAGGAACAGGGGAAGTATGCCTATTCCATCTTCCTGGAAGCGGAAGTCATTCCCCTTTGTTTTATTCTTTCCGAGCGTGCAGAGCAATTTTAT